TCGCCCCGCCTGCTTTCTTCTCTGGAACTTTGCCAGGTGTGGACCTGACTCTCCGCGCCCCATCGAGCGTCGAGCGCGACGACACTGCGCGCTCAGTGAGCTTCAACTCTGAACCGTCGCGGCGACGTGCGTGGGCGAGCTTCGCACGGTCACCTCGCCAGGTGGAGCGGTCCATCCTGAGAACATCTTCTGGGGCGAGTCAACGCGATGAGGCAGGAGGCAGAGACCTCCCTGGTCTCAAACGGGCCACAAGGCTCCGACGAGAACCTCCGTGTTCAGAGTCCTGGCGAGTCCCATCTCGATCACTGGGACGACGACATGCATGGCACGGTGACAGCTGGTGACGTCGTCCAGCCGAACGCGTTCGTCCAATGGTCCATGTGGCATTTTTGCGCACTCCTTCTCAAAGCGAGAATCTTCACTCCACGTTGGCGATGGGCCTTTTTCAGAAAACTTCTAGCTTGCAATCCACACACAAAGGCACAAGTTTGTATGCCATAGCTACTAGGATGGAGGCCATCGCTATTAGGTTGGAAGCCATCGCTAGTAGGTTGGAGGCCATCGCTATTAGGTTGGAGGCCATCGCTAGTAGGTTGGAGGCCATCCAAGCAATAGTTTCAATCGACTTTTCAAGCGACTGTTCAAAAAGACTTCACCATCTGTCTGGGCCCCCACAGCTCTCCTGCTCCTCTTGCTTGCCAACGAGGTCCTCATGCAAAGGATCGGACACAAAATTGATAGGCCAACCGCTTGCAAACGATAGCTCCTCACATTTGATGTGCTTCCCAGGGAGCGTTTGCCTTGGAAAGGTTGCTCACCCTTCCCACGGAGTTCCATTTCTACACCCTGTCCCCCGCAAAAAAAGGATAGGCACAAAAACATTGTGAATCATCCACGCGCATTACACAAAACTAAGCCCAGCTAATACCAGGTCTCCAACTTTCCACATGACATTTTGGTAACTACGGGATTTCAAGTGCAGCCCAGCATCAAAGGCTGGAACTCATCCGGCCATATTTCCTCCTTTTCTTGCCACGCCTTGGACGGACAAACGCCTGGTTCACCGCACCTTGCATGCCCCATGCCCTGCTGGCGCGGGGAAAACTCAAGGCACGTCTCGTCTCAGTCTCAGCCACACATCATGTCCCACCTCCCCTACCAACATCATAGGCCTGCCAGCTTGCAGAACGGTGCAAACGACTGCTGCCCCGCGACGACTTGCTGTGATGCATCCGAAGGCGGGATCCGCATCAGGCCTGCTCAGGCTCGGCGGCTTCGGTCGGCTCAAATGTGGCACACCATGGCCGCGGATGATTCAAAACAAATGAACAGCGTACAGTGGTCAAGACTAGTCAAAACACGTCCACCAAGTTCTGAGTTCCGCGACCCCTGGGTGTCAAAGGCAACCCATCTTCATGTTCAGACTCTTCCGCGAGCACTGGGCCTTGGCCATGCATGCTTGAAGAACGCACCTCCAGTTAAAAACAACACCCCGCAATGCCCGCCAGTCTTTCAACTTTTCTCTCACACACACATGGAATGGCAACACGTCCAAGCCCAAAACCCCAATTCACGCTTTGAAGTGCAGTTTCCCCTTGCGAGCGCACAAAGAAACAGACCAAAAACCCAATCGGATGACACAGGTGACATCACTGCGGATCACTGCGCATGTCAAATTTGCAACGTGTTTCGCACACATGTCTTGCCTCCTCCGTCTCCTCCATCTAGCACTACGATTTTGCAGCCCGTGTCCTCAGCTCAAAACGTTGAATGTGTTTTTCATGGTTCAAATTCCGGAAAGTGAGCCCAGCGCAGCGGGGCATGAGCACTCCACAGCACCCATAGCATGGCTCACGGTGTGGCGAAGGGGTTTGTTTGGACAGAGCGCGTCGGGAAGTAAAAATTGAGGGACTCCAAATCATGCAGGACCTGTGCGGCCCTGCGTTCCTTTCAGGTGCTGATGCAACATCTGTGGTGTTTGTTGCGCGTGTATGTGTGTATGTGTGTGTTACCTTGCGTCGCTTTTGCCACACCTACCCCAGCCATGGCGCGGTCGCGGCATGCAACTTTGTAATGCAAACCCCCATCAAGAGTTAGGAGTGCCCACATGGCGCGGTCCGCTTCGTGTAGTATAGGGTCATGCAAGTGATTGGGCCACAATAAAATGTAGCTTGGGATCTCACCCAGCTGTTGAAGATATAGCTCACGGTGAAGCTCTTGACTTGGTGCTCTTCGGGGAGCTGGAGGTTGCACACGAGCGCTGCACTAGAGACGCAGAGCTGGACACGTGTGTGGGCCAACAAACGCTGGATCGCGCTGTGCGCTCACTTTCCTGGTGTGTCCTGCCCCACTATCTGTGGAAGCGCGGCCGTGGCACGCGAAGCATGTGCAAAACGCACAAGGACCAGGAGGGTCCCCAGGATAGGGCCGAGAAAGCAATCAAATGAATTTTGTTCCACCAAGAAATCACTGAACTGGAGAAAACATATTCCACAGCTGTGTTTCGCTCACGGGAACAGCCGAGTCTGGGCGACGCCGGGGGTGAGACGACACGGACGCAACCACCGGAGAAGGCGGCGGCGTCAGCGTGCTGTAGGAGGAGAACCCAATACCGAGGTAAAAGTTGACGCGCCAAAACTGTTCGGAAACCGACCACTCGCCCAAGCTGATGATGCCGTATGTTCATTACCAAGGTGCACGCAAGGAACCACCGAGTTGACGTTCCATGCCAGGTCAACTTGTCGTGAACAACACAAGGCGAAGCACCAACAGAGTACCTGCCTACTCACAAGGTGTACAATGTCCTGCCGCGGCGAACGTTGGTTCCTGCAGGCTGCGCAAGTCCAACCCGAGAATGGCTTTGCAAAATTGTTATCCATACCTGCACATCGCGCATGTCGACGGAGCGGGTGGGCAGTGCAACGCGTTCGGCTTGAAGGCGTTGAGAGACACAAACGAAGCACCAGCAAGTTTTTTTGAATCTCTGGTTTCGGCTGTGTTTTTCTTCGCGGGCACCTGCGTGGAGCATGCCGGGTGACCTAATGTCAGGATGCATGCGCATTGGCCTCGCTGCTCTTTCCGCAGGTTTCGCTGCTGCCTCTGCACAATCTGGTCCACACTAAATCGTTGGCATCGACGCAGTGACCATGTTACTGATTTTCTGCTTGTAAAAGGACCAAATACTTTCTCAGGCTGCCTGTTGATGTCATCGAGCGTTGATTCTTCGGGACAAGTGCGCCCGAGTGGGGTTTCGCAAGCTGGGAAAGGCCCACAAAGTATTTCGGCTGCGCGAAATCTGCACCTCAACAAAATGCACCTGTCACGGAATCAGCAGTTGCAGGTCCACAAAGTAAGGCCTGCATAATTTCAAGGTCCGCAAAGAATTTTACCCGCCACGAAATCTGCACGTCAAGGCCGCTAAGTACTGCATATACCACGCAACAAAGTGCAATTAGAGAGTCTTGTTGGAAGGTCAACAATCTCCAAGAATGAGTCTAAAAAATTCTATAAACCGTCTGCCGTCCCCACATGTGACAACTAAAGGGGGGCAAGGTCCGTCACCCCACGAATCGGGGCGCCTGCGCCTTTTGCCCGGGCGCGTTGCCGGGCCTTCTTATTCTTCGGGGAAAGGCACGAGCGCTGAAGTCTTTGCGGGTGGCAGCTACATGGTCACACATGGTTCAGTGAGGTTCTTGGTCAGGGTTATGTACATGGGATGCCGCATGGTTAGGCATGCTTGGGTTACACATGGCTAGGGCGCCGCTGCACGAGCGCGGCCCAAGGCGGCTGGGGTGCGTGCCGTCGCCATGGGGGACGGCAAGGTCGCTGAGGAGCGGAGCTTCGCCGTCGACGTTCGCCCCGGGCCTGGCAGGGAAGGCCAGGAGCGAAGCCAAGAAGGCGCACTGGGCCGCGAAGGCGAGGAGGCCGCACCAACGCCTCCCCCAGGCCGCCGCAACGGAGGGCCGGGAAGGCGCCGGGTGGGAGCGCCTTGCCCTGCGCCAGGAGGCGAACGAAGGTGGCAGCCGCATGACCTTCACTGAGCCTTCCCTCAGTACAAGGTCACAAGACTTCTGGGTAACGGTGGTGGTCACAGAACGCTGACACCAAGCCAAACTCAACCAACACTCAATGCATCAGCACGTGTGGGGGGGTGACGTGAACGCTCAACTGGTCGTGCTCTTGAGCCAACATTGGCACATCTCAAGAGCGTGACCACACCACCGAACACTGCTCAACTGTCATTACTTGCAACAGAGTTTTGCTTCACAGTTTTGTCACAATAACCGCCAATCGCAGTGCAAGCCCCCACCCTACCAACCCTACAACAAAACCATCAAGCATGAACATGTATGCACAGGTTTTCGACTCGCAGGTTGGTGGAAAGGCTGAGCGCATGTTTCTCCAAAAGAAAGAGTGCGGCCTCCAGCCTGTCACGCACCTCCAGGTGAGTGTAGGCCACGTGTTTCCCTTTCTTTGTTCCGCCTGCCACCAGCTCCACCGCTCCCCTCAAATCTCATGACCTTCGCTGGGCCTTCCCTCAGTACAAGAACAAAAAAAATTCTGGGTAACCGTGGTGGTCACAGAACGCTGACACCAAACCAAACTCAACCATCTAATCGACCTTTTCCAAATGCGTGCATTGTTCTCGACCATATCAGGCCTATCGGAGCACATTGAACCTGAGGTGAACTGTTCATAATTCCAAACATCAATGAATTGAATGGCTACGTAAAGCATTTACTGCACAAACCGAATTTGCCCAAGTCCTCCTCATTGCAGTGTTCGATGTTCCTGGTGCTGGTTGCCCGTTTCCACCCACACTTCGTTGTCCACTCCAATGGCGCTTGCCAGAACTGACATCTTTGGGTGGGGCGCACGGTGCCAAAGACCATGTTGCGAATGTAAAAAGGCCTCATGTTCTCCCGCAGCTGTCGCACCTCGCCTTCAAGGTGAGAGAAGTCCTGCCCGTCGATGACGAACTGCATGCCTCGAGCGCTGATTCAGTCATCCTGGCTTTCTTCAAGGCTTGAAGTTCGCCTCGGCGGTCCTCGATCAGCTTCTGTGTCTGGCGGTAGTTTGCCTGCATGGGTGGTGCGTTCGGGGACTCCTCCAGGGCCTCCTCGACATAGGTCTGCACTACATTGGCGCTGTGCCGTGACATGTGCTTGATTCGGCTTGATCAATGCGATGGGCGTGCCAGCCCGAGCCAATGCCTTTGCTCCGCCGCGTCGCATGAAGTGCCCAGTGAGGCGTTGCACGTCGATGTCACCTGCGTTTTGCACACGGGCGACAACCCGGGCAGCGTCAGCCTGAGCAGTTTCAATCATGTCAGCCTTTGAGACAAACAGCCTGGGAGACCCGCTCTGTCCGATGAGAGGAACAGAATGTGCCAGCAACGAATCGGCTTTGATTCGTGTTCGTTCCTCCTGTCTTGCCACTAGTTCCATCGCCACTTCGAAGGACATTTTAGTCCATCACGGAGCAGGAAATGACATCCTAGCGCCCATACCAAAAGGCCACCGTGCGGTCCTCCAGGCTTGGGTGGACTGACCACACCTCCATCCAGCTCCCAAAGCTCCTGCTTCCACTCCATGCGAATCTTTTTGGAGCGACGAGTAGTGCCCCTAACGCACGCTCCCTTGCACTCTTCGATGCAAAGCACAAGCTGTTCGCTCCAGCCGAAACCTTCTTTCAGGTGTCACTGTCTGGTTTCCACGCGGTATGTGTATGCGGTTCGAAAAGCGGCGGCCCGAAACACTGGCACGAACAGCTGGCACTTTTCGGCGGCGAGAGGAAGAAGAACGAGATCATGCGTCCCCATAATTTCGGACCATGCTTTGTACATAAAACTTTCGTGTCAATCGTTCCCGCCGCATAGGCCAACTGCAGATAGCCCATACGCGCTCGGTGAACTAAATGGGCCTAGCTCTCTCCTCCATGCGCGTCGGATCTGGCGTTAGTGGTGCGCCTCTTCGGCGCTTCACCAACGTCTCAGGATCCAACACGATAACTGGTGGACCCTCTGGTGCCGCACCGACGTGGTGGCCTTCCGCATCTCCACTCCCGGAGTGCCCAGCTCCCCTTCCGGAGCCTGGATAGTTTTTCCTTTGACTTGCAAGCCCTGCCCTGAGAGCCAGAGGGGGCAGATCGTTCTCCTGAATCTCACTTCCAATGATCCACTGGTTTCGTCTTTGCGCCATGAGTCCTTTATTCGATGGGCGCCTGCAGGCACCCATCCTGAGCGAGGGCTCGCGCACCAGTTCCAAATGTGGGACCGAACCATGTTCTTCATGGGACAGACCTACCCCCTCACGTCAACGCTTGGACAGAGTGAAGCTGCAACGCCACATATACAAACACACACGCACCCTCTTCTCCTTCCTACTCGAGCCATCGATCTAATGCGAACATCTCCGACCGAGCCGTGCTCCGTCAGTCAAGGTGAACTGTGGAACACCAGTCGGGTCAATCGGAAATTCGCCTCTCGAAAGCGAACCCGCTATGGTGTGTTCAGCAGGCCACGGACATGACGTCCTTCAAGCGGCGGCAGTTGGAGAAACTCAAGTTTTAACCTCGCCTGGAAGAAGGTGAGTCGGGGATGTGATGTCGAGTGGATTGGCGTCGCGTTGAAGGGTCCACCAACTGCACCTTGCGGGTTTCCCTCACCCCTAATAAGGCTGCAAAGTAGTTCTAACTGTTTGAAATGATCATCGAAAGGGCATGATTCCCATCCGAACGCTTGCTCAGGCGGCCGGAGTGATGGGCTGGGTCAGTCCCAACGTCCAGACCCTGGACTTCGGCTTTGTGGGGTGCTTTGACGGAAGCTCAGCGAGCGCGCGAACAATGCGCAACCGGAGGGATTGTGTTTCTGGAAACAGATCTTGTGGATCCCTGCCCATGTGTGAAATATGGATCGACGCATGTCCCACAGGCATCGGGGGCTACGTTGCCAAACCGGCAGGATATTTCATGCATTCGTTGACGAATCAGGATGCCCAGTGGATCAGTGCGGACTGTCGCATTGGAGATCTGGCATGGCAGACTGAATTTGACATGTTCGCAGTTTTGTGTGCACTTCGTTTCTTTTCCCGTTTTTTGCCGCGCTGTCCTTTACTTCCAAGAGCCCCCACTTGACCAAAATGGCAGGGGAATTGGTTTTGGCCCCCAACGCACACCAAAGCAGGGTTACCCAAGCAAACACTAGGGAACGTGCGGTTGTTGACCTACCAAGTGCGGTAAGAATATGGTCGTCCACGTAACACTGTGATCGACCCTACCCCGTCCGCATGGTGGATTGTCCAAGCCTAAAAAAGGCAGCCGCCAGTCTGCCCCAGACCAATGGCCCACAACAGAGGCCGAAACAAACGCACTTTAAAATGTAGTAGGCACCGGCATTCCCCTTCACAACAGTGCGCGTTTGTTCATCCTCATGTAGCATCAAAGTATAATGTATAAATTCACTACACGTGCATGCTTCAAAAGTTCCTTGAGGGAGATGGGAAACTCGGGGAAGGACCATTTTTTTTCAAACACTTTCATCTTACCATTGGTGCCCGACCTTCTCATGTCAACAATGATTCGAACTTTCTCACGCCCGTGCTTCATTTACACGATGCAGGCCATCTTCTTGGTGAGGTTGGCTGGCCCAACACGATCATGCCAGGTCAAGAAGTGCTCTGCCCAACCACGAGTGACCATGCGGTCCAGCTCATACGGCGCCTTCTCCCCAGCTTCTTCAAACGAGCATAAACGAGCTGTAGTTTCGTGCTGTGCCATCCCAGTCATGGATGACTGCGACGGCCTGGGGGGCCTTTGCAGCCGCTGTGAGCTCATCCGTTCGAGGCAAGATTCCTGTGCACTTGATCTCTTTGCTGACGCCGATGGGAAAGCCATGTTCAATCCAGTCCGGCAGCACCGTGGCGTCAGGGTTTTTGCGCCTGACTCAACACTTCTCTCAGCAGTCCGTACTGGCAGCCCTTCTGTATCAGCTCAGTTTCAAACTCATGCCTGAACCTCTCCCGGGCTGCCCAGCCCAGATCGTCAGCGAACGGCGACTCTTCGTGTACATTCTCAAATTCTGTCAGCACTTGCTGTGTCAGCAAGTCCTCAAAGCATTGTCGAATTCGATTGCCAGCCCTTCGAAGATGCGCATTTCGTGCAACTGCTTTTTCAGGGTCTTTCACCAATGACCTCAGTTTTTTTTTTCCCCCACTTCTGTGCAGCACACCCCTGGCCTGGCTTGGAGCCGACCGCTGACTGGATTGCTTGCCCTTCTTGCTCCCAGATCTTGTCCAGGGACATCAAAGTCATGTGCCGCCCATCGGCTCTCACCAGCGGTCTTGCTGCCAGCCAATGTTGCCTCTCTGTGGACACGAGCCATTGCCTGAGTGCCTCCGCCCAGGCCCAGCAAATCTCCAGCGGGGTATACCCTCGATGTGCGCCAGGTCCAATCCCGTGATGGGGTCCCAGACATGGCCACTGAGTCCACCCCCTCGGTGTCGATGAGGCTGTGCATCCATGCACTTCAGCACGACATGTCGCATCCATGGAGCAGCGGCGAAGATCCGTGTAGGCTGCCTTGTCTTTGCCCCTGCTCGAGTTCCAGGATCTCCGCATGCATGACCTTCATGAGCTGCTTGAGAACTTAGTTCTCCCATGCGAAGGACCCACGTCGATTGTCCATTGTGAAGAACTTGCCCTTCTCGTGAGCCCTGAACCCCAGTGCCACCCTCTCTTCACTCGGACAATGGGTGGTGGCCCAGCCCTCTGGGTGTGCGTCGTCTTGAACCACTACAGGGGCACCATGTTCGGACCTTCTTGCCCGAGTGAACGATTCGCAAGGGAATGCAGCATGCGTCCAGTCGGCCTCCTCGACTTGCCCTTTTGCCCACTTGTAGTCCTCGTCGGTGAGAATGTCGCACTCGTGGTAGATGTCCTGCGGCTCCAGTACCTCCACCAGGTCCCCGGCCACTTCCCTCACGGCCCTCGACAGGCCGCCCATGCCAGCATAAAGTTCCAAGAAACGGAACTTCCTCAGCCTCCCATCGCGGACTGGTCTCGATGAAGTCCTCGAAGTCGAAGTTCTCCACCTCCCCATTCTCGACGGCTTCCTCCAGTTTTCGCTTCTGTCATTTTGCCGCCTGAGTCCTTGTTCTTGCCGCCACCTTTTGTCGATCTGCATTTGGATGACGACCCAGGCAAATCTGGCGTGCATGATCGCTCCCGTCCTTGCAGGGTTCCGGACAGCTGTTGGTTGCACCCTTGGCAAACCTATAGCAGATCTCCACCCCGTCCGAGTTGGTCGAATGGAGACCACTTTTAGCCTTCTGATACGGCGTGCTCTTCGAGGTGTCCGATCGGCCAGCTTCCCATGACTGTCCCCGCGGCCATGTGGACCACAAGTTTGTTTCCGTTTGGCTCGAGGCATTCCACTTGTCTCGGAGCTCCTTGGCCGCTCGATTGTCCCTGCCCCGGTGGACTGTCCACGCTGTTGCTCACATGGTCGAGAACCTCCCCCGCAGTCTCCGGGATCGTTGCAGCTGCGGCCTTGTCCACGGTCATCTTCTTTTTCACGGTGATGACGTTTGGAGCTGGCCGCACTACATGTTCGTCCCAGAAGATCGAATCTCATGCAGGGTGGGCGAACACTCCAATCCAAGGCGTTGCAGGGTTGAAGTCCAAGCATGCAAAGCACTGGTCTTCCTCCAGCATGAAGGTTCTCTGTCGCATGTAGGGACCCCTGTTCACTACCCAAGGAACTAACCACTGGTCATCGATTCTTTTTCGTGTTCGCGTGCAACATGCCCCTCGTCTCCGGGCCCCGAATTTCCGCCTGCTCGCATGGAGTAGCATTCTGGGGCCTTTCGTTCCACCTAAGTCCGCAACGGGGATCGTTGGGGTAGAGCATGGCCACCTTGTGTCAGCCTGGGGCTCATTGATGCTCATTGATGCTCGTCTTGCGCTTTCTCGGATTCGGAGTTGCTGTTTTTCAAGATCCAGGCCGTAGCTTGCGTCACCACGGATGGCATGCCCAATGGAGCTCAAATGGGCTCGGATTTGGTGCAGCCTCAAGCATGGTCTCGTGTCAAGACCATGCATCAATATCTGAAGCAAACCCCGACCTTTGCATCTGCAAAAAGCGTCTACTGAGCAGAACTGTTGGCCCGATTTAGGGTCGGACAGCCACCCCTTGCCTGCTTCCCGTGTGGGTCGCTGGCCTTCCGGTATGGAGACGCACCTCCAGCAGACTGCAAGGCTGTCCAACTTCATCCAGAAGGTGTGACACTTCAACTACCTGGCAGCGGCTCAACACCTCTACAGGCGTCTGCGTCTGGTGTCAAACACGTCTGTGGAATGTGACGATGAAACCTTCCCGCCAGAAAATTGGCATTCACCAGTAGCAAGTGCTGGCAGAATCTTGCCCAACATCAATGTCCGGCTCTTTCTCTAGTAAGGCACTTGCTACTAGAAGCGATGCACTTGTTCCTAATAGTTTCTTGTTTCTAATAGCTTCTTGTTGCTACTAATAAGGCACTTGTTACTAGTAGCGATGCACTTGTTCCTAATAGCTTCTTGATTCTTGTTCCTAATTGCCAATTTCAGAGCTCAAATCGTTCAAAGAAGTTGAGCAGCTGCCTCTGTCTTTGCATGCTTGCCTCTGGTGGACACAAAGGCCCTGCCTCCTGAAGGCACTCAGCAAGAATTTTGCATCTCCAAATCTGAAAAAGCAACAGAATTCCCAAGTACCTCTCTCTCCCTCTCTCTACCGCCCGCTTCATGAGATTAGCCATAGGCTCCCAAACACTTCTGCACCTCCCAAATGCCAAGCATATCCCCTTTGACCTTCCCCTTCGACCTCCCAGCTGAAGATCACAAGTTCCTAGCTACTCTTGGAGGCCATCGCTATTAGATTGGAGGCCATCGCTACTAGGGTGGAGGCCATCGCTCCTAGGGTGGAGCCATCACTAGTTCCCTTTCCTTTAAGAGTCTTTGATTCACTACGAAACATAACAGTCTGACATCGACCCCTTCGACCGCCGCAGTTTCATGGTTTCTCTTTAGCTCAAACGCAGTGAGTCTGTCTGTATGCATACCGGTCACCTTAAAACCACTTATATAAAACTGCCCTGTATGCATCGAAGAAAACTAACAAGCTCGACAAGGCAGACTTCTGGGATTCGGCGCACCACGCGTGGCCAGTGGCGCTTCCAACAGAAATGGCGGCCTTAGCCGAAATGGCGGCTTTGCCTTCACGAGGTGAACATGTTCATCAAGAAGTCGAGTCATTGAAGCGAAAGACCTGCTGATTTAATTTGTTGTTGCATCATGTTTAGTTTCCTTTTGGTCCAAACAAGTGTAAGAAGGACTCAAGATCAGCATCTTTCGCCTCTCCCCTCTCTCTTTCTCGATCCATAAGATTCAGTCCTGTCCGCAGGTTCCCTGGGTTGAGGACGTTGGGGCGTGCCCTTCACAAATGCAGAGATAAGTCTTCCGGAGCCGCCTAGCCTGCCACGATCTGCCACGTGCGGACAGGGGTGGAAGTCAGGCTGCTCTCCGGACAGGACATTCCTGCCTCAAATTCCAGCTGAGACAAGTAGAAACCTCATCAACTTCTTGGGCAAATTGCGACTTCTTGGACGTGAAGGGACACCACTCGATGTGACTCAGTCGCCAGTGGTGGCTCGATGGGGATGATGATTCAGGTGGCTGGGCCCGCTGTGGCGAAGGCTTCGCACCAGCCAGACGAAAGCTGGCGGCGCCGTAAGTTAAGGCTGGCACCCAAGTAGGTCTTGGCACACAAGATCAGTCCAGAGGTTCCCCGATCCTGGGCATCAAAGTCCCAAAAAAGCCAGAGAGGCAACTGTGGCCCAAGTCGATGAGCCCAGTCAAAATGTGACCGTGGACAGTCTTACATCGCAGCGGTTGTCGCGACATCCCTAAGCGACGAATCACATCAGCACATCGCACCCAACAACCGCAAGAACTTCCTGCTAGGCCAGACATGTGTGACAATTGCACCAGCTGAAATATCAATTCCATGTCAATTGCATGTCAATTGCATGTATATATATATATACTGTCCAAAAGCACAAAGTGCGCTCCCCGCCAGTAGTGTTCTTCATCATTTTCGCCTCATCCTCTTTTGGGATGCTGTTGCGAATGTCGCCAATCGTGATGATGGCAGTCAACACACAAAATTCCATTCGCCACTTCCAACCCTCACAGTTCCCATGTACGCTATCTGTGTGAAAGAAGGACATATGGTGAAGGAGACTAAAATGCGATCAATTGCATCCTTTGCAATTGTACTTGATGGTCGTGCCCGCGGAAGGGCCAGGACTGCACGCTGGTGGATCACAAATGACTGTCGCATAGTCAGCGCCCTGCAGGAAACCGGGCACTTTGGGAGGAAGGCTCATAGATTGGACACTTTGGGGGGTCCGTGGAATATGTTTCTATGAGCGTCTTTATTGCAATGGAACACTTTTGGAAGTTGCAGTTTCTTTATTGCAAGCTGTTGTGGCTTGAACGGTGTTCTTTGTCAAGTCCGGCCTGCCCATCGCAACAACGATCCGCAATTTGCCAGCACCCCTCGCCTGCCTTGACCTGTGTCTCGCCCTCATCGGGCATGGGCGGCTTTGGTGTAGTTGTCACCGGCGAAATGCCCAATGCTTTCAACCACTCATAGAACGACGCTCTGCGCTCTGGATTGGCTTGTGTGTTGGCCGGCCGAATTGCTGCCAAAGCTGCGTCGAAGGTGTGAGAGGCGTCCCATTCTTGGCAGTTCTTCATCCAATACCCGATGGCTGTTACAAAGCCATTCTCTGCAGTGTTGCACACGAAGTCCGGATTGTTGCATAGATCCTGGCCAGTCACCTGCGACTCAACGACAAAAGGGGTCACAAAAGGGATCAAGACTGTCCAGAGTTGGGGCAAGTTGATCCAAAAGAGGCGATCGGCCCAAGAGCAATGTACAAATATCATCTTACATGTTGCCGCGAATAAGAATCGCAACTGCTGCAAACACCAAAGAAAAGTTTGAGTTGCAACAACTAGGCAGCCATCCAGAACAACCTGGCACACAAAAACGCCCGGGAAAAGATGCACACGAACTAGCCTGAGTAAAGAAATCGAAGGAACACAGGGGTGAACGCATGTAAAGCGGTCTGACCATGGCGTGCAAGTCTCAAAAGCTCAAAGAGGTCCAGGGCTTCCAAAGCTTTCAGAAGATTCCAGCTTTTGACGAGGTCGACGACGAACGCTCAAATCTGCCAACCTGAATCCTGAAGGCAAACCATTCAAAGTGCAGGTACAAGAGTTGGCGTCCCAACTCTCTTCCAACTGATTTCCGTAGCTTCGTTGGCACGGATGGGAAATCGGTCTCCGTGCCCCCTGCAAGCATGAAACCTATTGAGCCAAAGGCCTACCTTTGACTCCAAGGTGTACACTTGGATGTGAAGCACGTGAGAGAGCAGCGTCAAGTCACTGGACCTCACTTTTACTGCAATTAGACCTTTGATGCAGTTAGACCTTGGCTGATTCAACGGCAAGAAGTGATGGGTGGGCACTCCTCGGGCTCACCCTGGGCTGGCATGAAGCCAGACACACTAGAGATATTGCGTACGGAACTGAATGCCACATGCCACACGCCCACCTAGGTATGAAAGCCTAGGAGTTCCAGGGAAAGGTATGTACTGCGGCCTGGCAATCTTAGCGATGCTCAAATCTCAAGGTCCAAAACGACGAATGCACCTCTGCAGAAAAACCTTTCGCAAACGATGGCCTCCAACCTACTAGCGAGGGCCTCCAACCTACTAGGCAGAACTCCAACCTCCAAGCGATGGCCTCCAACATACTAGCGATGGGCTCCAACGTGCTAGTGATGGCCTCCAACCTAGTTGCGATGGCCTCCAACCTACTAGCAATGGCCTCCCCCAAGTGATGGCCTCAAACATTTTAACGATGGCCTCTAACCTAATATTAAGCAATGGCCTCCAACCTACTGGCGATGGCCTCCACAATCCGAAGGACTGCTGGTATGGGCGAGGTGTCACGCAGCTCACGTGGCCGGCCAATTACGGAATGCTGCAAGACATCATCCAAAAGGTGTGGCGGTCAGCATGTGGCAATTTGGAATAGATTAATATATGAGAGTATATGTTATATAGCTTGTTTTTTTTGGTAGTTGTCCATATGTCTAGATGCATTTAAACAAGCATATATTATGTACATATATATATTACATATGTGTGTGCAGCAAGGCGAAGATGATTTTTCCCAAGAAACAAGAGGTTGTATGGTATCCCAGGCGTGTTTTGGTGCCGTCCCAATTGTATTTCGATGTATCTTGTGCATGTTTAATTGTCTTGATGGCGCGCCTGGCGTGCCAACTGGTGTCCCAGTTTTTTGATGGCGACGCATTTTTGCTACTGGTTTCCCAGTCGTGCGATGATGATGGCCCATGAACTTCTATGTTGGCGTTGGTGTGTTGGTCACGTGATGATGGACAGTGGTCCCGTGATGCTAGGCTCATGGCAGCCAACCAAACATGCAGACTTCAATATTCGTTGGCGGGTGCACATGCTTGGAGCGTGTGGAACATAGACCGTTCCGGGCTGTCTTGCAGTTGCACCTTGAGCTCTACTCGTTTGCTAGTAGGTTGGAGGTCATCGCTTTTAGGTTGGAGGTCATCACTGGTAGGTTGGAGGCCATCGCTTTTAGGTTGGAGGCCATCACTAGTAGGTTGGAGGCCATCACTGGTAGGTTGGAGGCCATTGCTTAATATTAGGTTAGAGGCCATCGTTAAAATGTTTGAGGCCATCACTTGGGGGAGGCCATTGCTAGTAGGTTGGAGGCCATCGCAACTAGGTTGGAGGCCATCACTAGTAGGTTGGAGGTCATCGCTACTACATTGGAGGAGGCCATCGCTAGTAGGTTGGACGCCATCGCCAGTAGGTTGGAAGCCATACTAGTAGCGTCCTTGTTCCTAGTAGCGATGCCAGGAGCCCCTAGTAG